GGAGTTCCTAATAAAGAAATATGTCACTAAGGATAACAGCAAGGGCTAGCTACATATGTTGAGGAACTTTGAGATGTTAAGTTCAAACTCATGCAACAAAGGTCAATGAACTCAATACAAGAAAGCAAGTTCCAACAAAGTTCCAGAGCTAAGATAATATTTGTTCCGACCAGCAATATCTCAACAAACTATGGAACTAAAGTGTTTTTCATGCATATATATAACCAAAGGGAAAACCTCAACAACCAAGGATCTGAGAAGAGCCCGAGATATCAATCGAAAAGGATGGACTTTATAACTCATAGTTGTATAAAAGATAAGTCTGTTTTTAAGGTTGATGTAAACATGTAATTGGTTGTTATCAGGTTAGATGTGCAGCAGGAACTTAATAAGCTTAAAAAGAAGAAGATGCATGTCACATCCTGAACCTATTCTAGAACACCTAAAAAGGGTCGGAGATTAAAAAAGGTGTTCTGGCAAAAGCTTGTTGAGTAAGGCACGTGAATGGAACAAGGCCAGGTTGGTTCTTAAAAGAAACAACCAATACAAAGGTATGTATTGTCTTTAAGGAACTTGTTGCGTGTGTAGCTAGACTTGAAGCAAATTGAATAATATTTGTTCTTGCTGTTTATATGGGATTAGAGTTGTACCACATGGATGTCATGTATGTCTTGATATGAATTTTTGTAGACGTCTATGTGGAACATACTCTAGGATAGAATCCTATCCAAGTTCCTTCTTGAAAATTGAGTTTTAAAAGTATCAATTTTTGTTTTCAAGATTAACTGAGTTATTATTAGTACTTGTTTACATTGATATATCTCTGGTACTACTAACGAGCCATTGTGAATTGGTTTTTGCTAATTTATGATAAGAAAATATATTTGTAAGATTAACCACTGACAATGGAACTTGAGTTAGAAGTGGAAGTTCATATTAGATTCGAGATCATCAAGGAACATAACAACCACTTCAAGAACTCCAAGGTAAGCCATCATACTCAACCAATGCTTTAAAGTTATATTTTTACTGGTAAGAGACTACATAAGATATAAGTTCCTTTTCACATGTCGGCATTAGATGAATTGAATTGATATTTTTTTGGTATGAATGCAATATGTGAATTTGTGAATTGATTCTCTTATGGTCTTGTCTTGATTTGTCATATTCTTGTTTATTGCTTAATGGAACAAGACTTGATGAAACATAACACGAGTATAAAGTATTTTTTCCCATAAGTTATGTCAAGTTGGGGTTCCTATGCATGTTAAACATAAAGTAAAGAATGTGCGCTTATTGTTTATGTGTCACACTTAGTTCTTGTGTTGTAAAAGACATACTCACTTGCCTAATAGTATTAGAGGTCTCTTAATAGAACTATGGGTGCTGTCAAACACGAAGTTCCTAAGTTGCCAAAGGAACAATGGAAGAAACTTTGGTGGAACAAGACAGGTAAGTTCCCAGACCGTTTGTAACTCACTTGTTTAAATTTCAGAGGGAACTAACCTATCTTTTAGTCAACTTTCAAGCATCCACACCATATATCTTCGATCGCAACATTATTCTACAACTCTAAGTTGTGTGTCTGTGTTGCATATACTCTAATTGTCTTATATTTAGAAAATTGAAGATTCTTATTCACCCAATTCAATTTCCTCTTTCCGTTCACACACTTTTACTTCTTATTCTTAATTCCCATGTGCTCTAAGTTTGTTGATCATCTTTTTATGATTTTTAATGATTTGATGAAACATAAAAAATGGTGATTATATGTTGAGGAGGAAGTTGAAGATAAAGGAAGAAGAATGGTAAGGGACTCAGGGGGAATAAGGTAGGAACCAAGAAATCAAAATGGTTCAGATCTGGTTGTGGAACTCAAGTGTATGAGTGAGTAATATCTTCATTGATTTAAAATGTGTTATTCCAGGAAAGCATGCAAAATTTGTATAATGACACCCTTTAAAAAAAAAAAAAAAATAAAAAAAAAAAAGAGAAAGAAAAGGAAAAAGGGTGATCAAATATTTAATTTCCTGGGTATCTATATATGAAGAATGTTGACTATGTTGATGTCGTGTACTCGTATACTTGGTGAGCTAGTGAAGGAACAATAATAAACGACGAAGGAACTTGATTATGATGAAACTGAAATCTATTTAAGTTCCAGTATGGAGAATGTTCCTCAAAGAAGTTGGTGGTTAAGGTAAGGGAACTTGGTTATCAATTGGCAAGATGAATATGTGTTGTGTTCAATAGGAGATTCAAGAGTTTGAGATAAAGTACAATGTGGCGGTTCTCATCTCAAAAGGTTTAAACGAAGAGCACAAATTCCACTTCACGTTCCCTCTACTTATTTTGTTCCATATGCTTCTTTATATATCCTTTAAGCTTGCGCTTTAATTGGTCTATTCATGCAATCCATTTCTAACTTTTTAGCTCTGATCTTTACTTGAATTTTAACTTCTTATTTGTCAAGTTCAATTAAGGGTTTTGAAGTTGGGCCTTTGGATTGTGAGTTGGAAGTTAGTGTGGAAATGGTATCCGTGTTTGAAAAGTGAGTACCTTGAGGCTTTTAGGAACAACAAGTGTTTAACTAGTATATACTTACTTATTATATGGTGGTAGGTGTGACATATGACTTTAAGTGCATATAATTTACGAAAAACAAACGTGTGGAACAATACCCTTTTTGATAATGACAAAAGGGGGAAGAATATGTATGATGCTTATGGTATGCAGTAATTAAGTCTAAAGTTATTACATCATGATTGTTGAAAGTATTTATATATTGATAAATGATGTGTATTGCTAAGTTCCTAACTATTAAGTTCTTGTGTATGTTCTTAACTTGTTTAAATGTTATTTCCTTGAAAAACTAAGGGGGAATAAATGTACAACGATTATCCTTTAATATGTGATGAGCATCAATAGTTTGTCATCATCAAAAAGGGGGAAATTGTTGAGCAATTAGGTTTTGATGATTATAAACTAATGATGATTATCTATCTAACGTGTATGTTAAGTTGTGCATAGAAAAAGCAAATTATGCTTGGAACAGGATACAAGGAACCTGAGTAATGACAGGTATATATGTAAGGAACTTGAGCAATATAGGATAAGCAATAGAGGAACAAGAACAACGATAAGTGTTATGGTTGATAAGCATGATGATGGCTAAGGGACCATGAAGGTAACTATGTAAACATGTGTTTACATATGTTAGCTTCATAAGGTAAGTATCCTATACATATATAGGTTATGTATGTGTAGGAGTCTTTTAATTTAGTTTAGTTTTCTTTATTGTTTTTATAAATAAAAAACTAACCTTCTGTTTTACTTTGTTATTCTCAGAAGTTTGCTCAGTTCGTCATCATCAAAAAGGGACAACTTGTTGATCCTTATGAGGTTTTGATGATGATGTTAAGAATCGAGCAAACTTCCATTTAATAAGGATTTTCTAGTGTTGTGATGTTTGCAGGTTCAGTAAGCGTTGAGGGCTGAAGTAGGAATTGAAACAGAGGAACTTTAGAGGATCCATGAGGATACAAGTAAATTTAGAAGAAGAGTTCCAGAAATGGAACTTCCAGAAGTTTCTTAACAGGAACTTCAAAACGGGTTGTAACGACCTGGTTTCGGTGTAATGCTGGGGAAAACCCTAAGATCCAGAATATATCAAGACTACAGGATTCCAGAACAAGAGTTTCAGAGAAGCAACATGAAGACAGAGAAATAGAAGTATATTGCTCTAGGATTCATGTAAGTATGTTGGACATAAAAGTCGGTCTGGAACAAGTCTATATAGAACCAAGGTGAATTCCAAACAGTCAATGAAATTAGAGTAACTGACTTGTCAGGAACTCAGAGACTGTCAGAGTTCAGGAACCTAATAGGAACTTAAGTATGAACGTCGTTAAAAGTCGGTTTTAATGATATATATATTTACCTTATACGTGCATATCTTTTAGGGATTTGGTTTTACTGAATAAAGATATTTATCTTCTAATAAATCCCTTTTGGAAAAAGATAAGATTGTTTAAAAAGTATTTTAAACAAAAAGATAAGTTTTGAATAAAATCTGATTTTATGCTAAGTTTATCTTATTATTATTGACAGTTTTTATTCTTAACAAAAAGGTATATTTTCGGAAAACTGATTTTTAGAAAATATCTTTTAAACTTATCTTTTCAGAAAATCTATCTTTTTCAAGATGAAATGAATAATTCGAGTGTACTATAAATATGCTCATATGCATTCATTCAAAGTAGAGGCTGACGAAGTGTAGTGGTCGTGCTTAATGGTTTTATCCTTCACCACGAAGCTAAGTCAGTCCTCCTGGTCAAAGTTCCTATCAGGTTTTTGGTTACAATACGTCTAGTGAGTTCCAGACAGATCTTGAGTGTTCAACATATTAGTTTTATCTCTCTATTCATAGATATGTATTTAGGGATATTCGATGAGATCTTGTAATGGGAAAAAGGGTTTTGAGTGTTTTGTATTTTGGGGTGAGATTGTGAATTATCTTAAATTCACGCTTGTGTATGAGTTTGAAATCTCGTAAAATTCGAGTGGTAGTTAGTCACCCTGAGTGGGTGTGTCTTGGATTGCACAGTGAGTGAAAGGAACCTGAGAGGTGTCTTGGGTCACCTAGGAAGTGTCCTGGGTAAAGGGAGAAAAAGGGTCCTGAGAGGTGTCTTAGGTCTGGTAGGAGGTGTCCTATCATATAGTCAAGTGTCCGTGGTGGAACTTTCAAAGCAAAGGTCAGTGTAATAGGTTGTACTAGGAGAGTTGCCTATTATAGTGGAATTTGTTTATAAGTCCCAATAGGGCCGAGGTTTTACTTCCAGTTAGGCACTGGATGGTTTCCTCGTAAAACTTGTTGTGTGCTTTAAGTTCCTTTACGTTTTGTTTTTAATTTCCGCATAAGTTCCGCGAAAAGTAGGCACTAGGAACATACTACAATTCACCCCCCCTCTTGTAGTATATCATCCGAAATAACAATGGAAGAAATCATTCTCACACTATTAAGAGCCATCATATTGTTGGTGTACTTCTGAAAGACATGAAGCTTATCGAGCCTCTCAAGCTTTTATTGAAGGACGATGTTTGAATTTAATTTAAACCCCTTGAGGCCTTGATATGAAGAATTTGTGCTCTCTTCCAATTGATCTCATAGCTTTTCCGTGGTACGTGCATCAGGGAAGATCTTAGATATCCCTGAGGGTTTTTTTAGAGCGTGCCATCCATTGTCAGGATCAGGACTTGCTGTTTGTGTTCTTGTTGATGTTACAGAAGGAAATTATTTGGAAATCCTTTGACAGGTAACTAGATATTTCCATCTATTGGATTAAATAAATGTCTATGTTCCTGGTTGATATAATAAGGTGTTTTCTTCAGGTTGACGAGATATTTATTCAATCAATCAAAAGATGCCGGACTCTGTGATGAAATATGGCAAGCTTTCGCTGTTTTCATGGGAATTTTGTCAGTAGGAATACAAGGTGATCTTAGAACTCATTCTCATGTCGCGGGCCTTGGAGCTGTTACAAGTAAAGATGGGATGACAGTAGATTGGTGAGTATCATACATCTATTACTAATTGTGTAGATTCTGTTCTTTGTGTTGGTGAATGTATAAGAAAACTGATTTTTTGAAAAAAAAAACTCCCTTGATCAAGAAGATTTCCAACTTTTGATGTTGTAAATTTGGGGTTAGATTCTGCCAGTTTATGATAGATTTATTTCCATTGATCATATTTTGGTAAAAGACATTCTGGTTGTTTTCAATGCTAAAAGCTAAAACTCGAATTCAGTGGCATATGTTGAGCCTAACTTTACTATATTGTGTGCCAAGATTTAATCAGCTTACAGTTGAAGTTTGATCAATATCTCGATCACACTATATATCATCAATTTGTACTATATGTCTTTACTCTGTAGATTCAAGTGATTAATTGATTTCTTCTGACTGTTATGAATGTTTCCTGTACTATTTTCAGGTCTCGCTTTCAAAATCACTAACAATGTTACAGAGTTGCTCTGGACATAACATCGAAGACTCCTTCAACAAAAGAGTGGTAATAAGCTTAATATTTAACCCTTCTTAACGAACGAACCATCTCATTGACTCCTCATTTAATCACCGGCTCAAGAACAATTAAGAAGTATAATTAAAGATTTATTCAAGTCACGTGATTTCTTTTCATAACCATTCATTCTTGCATACTACTCGCATTATCATACTTTGATATTTTATCTTATGTAACCAGAGAGGTCTAACTACTATTGTCGCGACAATGATATTTATTTGTTCTTTATTGAGAGTTGAGACAATAGAAGGGACATCAACACAAAAATTTGATAGCATTATGGAGAATGTGGACATAGGGACATAGGAACAAACATTGTGGTAGCCACTTTGCTCTGCTAATATTAGAAAGATGTTCCTGTAAATTACTAGCTAGTGACTTTGGCTGGAAGCATGTCTTTAAGTCTTGCATGTACTATTATATTATAAGTTGTAAGATGTGACATAACTTATATGGTTTGGTAACACTTTAATTGGCATTTTCTATGTGGTGGTTCAAGCTTTTTATGAGCATATAATAATTTATAATTGTAAACAAAACAATATCTAATCTTTGGTTTATTTTTAATATGAAAAATATCTGTGGTCTCTCTGTTTTAAATATGTATAGTGAATCAATTAATGATGATGAGGTCACAAAAGATAGTGTATGTGTGGAGAGATTAGAAACATTGCATTTGAGCCTTAGTTTCACTAATAAAATTTCTTGACATTTGCAAAGGTGCTTTTGGAGGTCAGATATTTTATGTTCCTCGTCAAAATGCAACAATGTATACTTCTTTGTTCTTTCTCACTTTCAAGTGTTTGTTCTTGTCCTTCACCAAAAAAAAAAAAAATGTGTTTGTTCTTGTCAACAACGGACAAAATTGAGGATTCAAGTCCAATCAAAGTCTTTCTTCTTATCTTAAAAAGTAAACAATTACAAATAACGTCACATTTGACTGTTAGGTTAGGAAACAGGTTAAAATATGAAAAATTTGACATCCATACTACTACTCCGTAATACATCATCATGCTAGTACTAACATATGTAAATCAGTACATGTAACGTGAAGTATAATTTTCGGACGGATCAAAAAGATTGTAATTTATTGTTAAGGAATGATAATTAATATGGAGTAATTAAGAAAATTAGTTGAATCAATACATCAAATAATAATATCTTAGATGTAGGCTTCTTGACGTTTCATCCTATATTGAAGCCAGTGGATAAATTTATGCAATACTAATCAAATGTGAAATATGGCCTTTGAATGCACTGAAATTTTGAAGAGCAAATGAAAATATTTCTTTTTTATTTCCTTATATTTAAAATATTAAGGTGCCGGCTAAATTTGTTGATTTCCTTTTGAAATTATCAAAACAAAATTAGAAAATTACTGATAATTTCACAAGTAATGCATTTTCATTTGCCCTAGGTAAAAGTGAAAAAAGCTCAAAATGCCAGTAAAAAAATGAATGAAATAGAAGCTTGATATATGTTTATTGATTATATACTTCAAAAAAGATATATTGTAACTTAAACTTATCTGAAATGAACTTGTTAAATCTAATTGAACTTGATCAAACTATTACTAAAAGTACTTATTGTCTAAGTAGTATCATTTATATAACGATGAATTTGAACAATTTTTTCATTTAAAATATCAATCAACACTATATTATTCAATAGTTTTATGCTACTCATACATAATTTTAACAATGGATAGTAATATAGGAAATGAGAGAGTATCAAACAACGCAAAAGACGACAAGTGTAATCATTTTGTATCAATCACCATGGTCCATACATATTTCAACTTTGGCCAAAAATTGGTTGTTTGTTCTACCCTAAGGAAACGTAGTCAAGTAAAACTCAGGTGGTGGGGATGAAAATTAAGGTGAATAGGTACCTGGAGCATGTGTTTCCTACATAGTTTGTAGATAGTGAAGCAATTATCAGATGTTTCAAGTCATTTAATACAGAAATTGTGAGTCCCAGATGTTGTCTTGGTTAGAGACATAAAAAAGCCAGTGGTATTGTGATCAATACTTGTGATTCAAGACAATTCAACTCTTAGCTCTAGATATTGGTCCATTTACCACATATGTGTGTTAGCTTGTCGATCTCTAAGACAATTTCAACATGTTTATGTTCAATTACCTTCAAAAGCATCACTACTTCTGTTTCATCTTACTGTTCGTTTGGATTTTATCTCAAATGATGCATAGTGAGAAAACAGACAAATTTGCAGGCTAACATGTGGTTAAATATGAGGAAAATTTGAAAATAACAGTGACTGAATATTAATAGGGGAGCTCTGAGATTGACATGAAAAGTTAATCTCCTCTCACAATATATTGTTGTACTTTTTTTTTAAATAATAAAGTAAAATAGTAAAGCGGCACGAAAACAAATGCATAAAGTAGCGAGAGGGGATTAACTTAGAATGTTAATCTCGGAGGTTAACTAGGGCTCCCTCTATTAATAGTATGTGCTTGTACAAGACTACCAGGAGAAGTTTATAAATTGTAACGTAGATATGATAGAAAACATAACTTGAAGTAGATACTCCAGAGGTTTGTTATTTATATATTTGTGCGGTGTGCCGTCCCATGTCAATGTACATGTTCTCACAGGAAGGCTAAAGAATATACCCTATAGTAGAGCTGCATGCTATGGCATGCTCCATTGCTCCCAATTCCATAGAGCTTAGCTTTGAGTTGTTAATGTTGAGCACTAATCACAATCAATTGATATCTTGAGCCTAGCACCCCAATATAGCTGCTACTAGGCATGTGGAATATTTGACCTATGCCTAATGCTCCAACAAAACACACACATAAGTACAATATGAACGAATTGAAAAAGAGTATTAAGTATTTTATAAAACAAAATACAAATAATATTAAATTAAAATAAAAGGATCACACATTGAAAAAGTGTATTAAGTATTTTATAAAACAAAATACAAATAATATTAGATTAAAATAAAAGGATCACACAACTGATTAAATAGCTAATAATGCATTAATGCTTTCAAAAAAAAAAAAAAAGCTAATAATGCATTAATGCCTAATGCAAGTCATATTACTAAGGGCCTGGTTTCTTCAGCTTAATTTCGTTCAGTTCAGCTCTAATCAATTCAGCTCTAATCAATTCAGCTCCTAATATCCTTCTCTCATTAACAATTTTATTCAGTTTAGTTCAGCTCCAATTAGTTTATTTCACTTCAGTTCAAATGAGTACACTAAATCAGAACAAGCCCTGGCCTAACTCTTATTTACACTAATACATGTTCAACTTTACGTCTCTAATTTCTACTTAAATAGTAAGGAGAACATGCAAGTTGAATTGGTCAATCCAGGATCCGAGGATGACAAGAAACTGGCAAAGATAACATGAACAAAATATAATGTGCTTTGCATTGAGCAGATAATTCCAAGCTCCAAAAGCAACCACTTTTGCGACTAAGACTTGAGCTTTGTTCATTGCTTCTAAGTCAAACGTATCAGACTGAAGATACCATTGATTATAATATAAAAGTAGATACTTTTATAGGCTATATATATAGTCAATAGTCACTTAAGGGAAAAAGGGAGAATTAATGATTTAATGGTCACGAGATTTCTCTTTCAACATATATATACACACTTGTACAAAACAATACAATCCCTAATAACTTTCAAGTTACCCATAGTGGTGCGTTGTAGTCTTGTTATACTTTATCTGTTTTTATTTATTTAATTTAACTATAATATTTTTTATAATTGTTAAATTATTTTATTAAATGTATATTTTTGATCAATTTTATCTTTAATTCTTAATAAGTAAATAGATTATATAACTATATTTTAAATGAGACAATTTTTAAGATCATACTTAAATATATATATTCACCACTAATGACTTAGGCCTTGTTCTATTCATTTTAAAAAAATAATATTAAGCAAAAATAATTTCAGTTTAGTAAAAATAATTTCAGTTCAGTAAAAATAATTTCAGTTCAGTAAAAATAAGTATAGTTCAGTAGAATTTAGTTTTCTTAAAGAAGAATTATAATAGAAAATCAGTAAAAATAATTTCAGTTCAGTAAAAATAATTTCAGTTTAGCAAAATTAAAGTGAAGAGAATAGGGCCTTGGAGAATATACAAATTTTAAAAGTAAAAATAAAGTCAATTCAAGTAGAAAAAAAATGGATCGGAGAAAGTACATATACTTAAACCATTTCCACGTCTCAGTACATAAATTGGTTTTGAGAACATGATTGCATTGAACACGATATTTCCAAAAGTTTAGTGTACAATTCAACTTTATATATAGTGATTCTCCCATTATCCTTTCACGAGTTTTGATTTCCCGTGTCTCTACCACTTTTGAGACAATCCTTAGCTCATTTTTCTTCTAATGATGTTTGTTTTCGACACTTTTCATCAAGTACCTTGAAATTAAAGGATTTTTATTTCACCCATACTTAATGTATAATCCGTTGACAATTATTCAAATCTAATGTTTTTACGTAATATATAATACGGTAATATAAGAAAATGCACACACAAATAAACACACTAATCTACTAGTAAGAACTTTTCACATATTATTTTATATATAATTCACTATATATATATATATATGCCTTGATTAATAGTTCAATACTCCCAAGTCCCAAAAGGCCAAAAAGGCCAAAATTTCTTATGTTAACTTCATTTTAGGGGATAATAACAATGTGAAATTAAAAGTAGTCACTTATAATGGACTTATTCTGATTTTGTCGATTTCCATGAAAATGACTGTTTTTTGGCGAAGAAAACAACAAAATATATAAATCACTTCAAGCCGCAAGTTAAAACAACAACGGTACAAGTTGTTTTCATCTTTGCCTTCACCGGCAAGTAGTTTACCTAATCAATATGATTGATTTAACCACTATTATAATTCAATCATAAGTCTTCAATTCAGCCACAAATCTATGTTTTAATTCATTGATTATTATTAGGTCACTGTTTTTTGCTTAGTCAAATCAAACTAATTAAGACTAGTCTTGTCTAGGGTCACTTAATATTATCAACGTGATTTTATAAATTAGCGCTCATTGCATGGATCGAAGACTATATTCAGAAAATAATACAAAGTATGAGAAAAAAGACTAAAAAATTATTCGTGGTTTGTATAATTATATATACTCCCTTCATCCAAAATTACTAACAACGTCATTGTATTTAAAATCATTACGATTTATGAGGTTCTCATTGTCTCTAACACCAAGTCTTAATAAAAAGTATATGTATATAGAATATTAGAGTAAGATTATTCACGGTCAATCACCCAACTACCCAAGTAATGTAAGCGTAAATAAAAAGAGCTTATCATATAATATCTTAACGGTCGAAATCATTCACAGTATAAGTTTTTTGTTTAAAAGCATTATTGCATGTTGTTATCATTCTTTTGATTATTTGTGTACATTATTTTCTCCCATCATTAAGAGTGATTAGATTAACGATCAATGATTGATACGAATGATACCATGCCAACTTGTATTAAATTGTAAAAACATATCGAATATGACCAAACAAATAAACTAAATTCCCCTTTTTCTTAAGAAAATAATCATTTAAAG